AGATGAAGTTATTCTGGGTTTGAGCTGACGTCACTGGGGTCCTTAGAAAGTGCAAGTGTGCTTCCTGCAGCCAGATCTCTTGCTGGAGTATAAATGCAGTTAGTATAAAAGCTTAGAGTTTGTGGAGGTTGATACTATTTTAGAAAAGGCTTTTACCTGTCACATGCATGAGAACTTAACAGGCTTTCTTTGAGTCCAGAAACAAAAGCACAGGTATCATCACATCGTTCAAATTCCTTTAGTTAGCAGTGAAGCTAGCAGGAATCAAATCATCTCTAAGCAGTGGCTGAGAAGGGAAAGGTGAAAATCAGTTACTTCTGAGGAGTGACTGTGTGAATGCCTTCTTTGGGGGCCATAAGGAATTTTGGGCAGTGATACTTCAAACTGATCATACACTACGTGTCTAGCCGGTGGCTGCATATAACCTTTGAGCAAATGCCAAGAATGGGGTTTTGGTAGCAATCTTCAGTTTTCCAGTCCAAGCAGTGTGAGACGAAGGTTGTTACTGTTTCCCATGGATGTTATCCAGGACAGCGGAGCCCTCATATGGCTATTAGCTATCCAGAAAATGTTGATGACCAGTGTGCGGAGCTGTTCATAGAATCATAGAATGGTTAGGGTTGGAAAAGACCTTAAGATGATCTAGTTCCAACCCCCCGCCTCACCCTAGATCATGTCGCCCAACGCTCTGTCCAACCTGGCCTTGAACACTGCCAGGGATGCAGCATTTACCACTTCTTTGGGCTACCTGTTCAGTGCCTCACCACCTTCACAGTAAAGAACTTCTTCCTTATATCTAACCTGAACATCCCCTGTTTAAGTTTAAACCCATTACCCCTTGTCCTATCACTACAGTTGCTGATGAAGAGTCCCTCTATGGCATCCCTGTAGCCCCCCTTCAGATACTGGCAGGCTGTTATGAGGTCTCCACACAGCTTCTCTTCTTCAGGCTGAACAGCCCCAACTTTCCCAGCCTGTCTTCGTATGGGAGGTGCTCCAGCCCTCTTATCATCCTTGTGGCCCTCCTCTGGTCTTGCTCCAACAACTCCATGTCCTTCTTAAGTTGAGGACACCAGAAGTGCACACAGTACTCCAAGTGGGGTCTCACTTGGTGAATCTGAGGTGACTAAAATTTAAATGTAGAAGATGAGGAAAAGCAACCATGTAGTCAGAGTTGGCAGATCAGTAGCATTCTTTTTTCCTTAGACTGAGAGAGCTTCCTCCCCTAGATGAATGGACTTTCAGTCAGGCCAGAAATAAAACCCCACCAACAACTTGGGGTGGGGGAAGCACAAGTACTATTATTTTTTTAATTTTCATTATTAATCTTTCACTGAAGTATCTGATTGAGGATAGGTTATTGAACTCGAATTTTCAAATTTGGTTCTTCATGGGGAGAGGCAAATTTTCATTTTAAAATCAGTCTTACAGCATCAGACATTCATTAGAATGATACAATTATTGTAGTTCTAGGGATCTACAGAATGTAGTTTTTCATTTGGAGAAGTTATTCTATGTTTTAAAAGTAAGTTTACATTCTGTCTCCTATGACATCCTCATTATGAGAGGTAGCTTGGATACCACACGGTCTTGATCAAAGGCTTGCAGATCTGAATTTTTCCTTTTCCTCTTACCCGAACAGGTCAGACTGACTAGAAGATTTGTTGCATTTGTTTTCCATTGGGTTTCACTTGTATATTTTAACAAGGTAGATATCTGTCAAAATTCTATCTTCCTTACTAGTGTTAAAATTGAGGCAGTTTAAATGGATTGCATTGCAATACAGCATGTACAATTGCAGTGTAAGATGTTTGTTGCCTGATGAGTACAGGATTAAAGGTTATAGGGTGCTCTGGCTTCTGTATTGCACACTTAAAACAATAATAGACTGTTAGAGGTCGGCTTCTAGAAATAGCCCTTAAAATGCAGAGGGCTTGGAACCTGTTCCTGCTTGAAGTGTGGGGTTTTTAATGTGATGAAAGAAGAGCTATAATAGCATAGTAAAAAACTCAGCAGTAATTTCTTCTCTTGCTGTCCTGTAGTAGGCCTTCAAATAGTTGTTCAGTCACTTAGGATGTGGAGTGTCTCATCCACATCGGCAAGATTCTGCAGAAACATTCATCAAATACAAACACAGGGCATTGGCACTTCTTCACTAAAAATAAACTTGAATTTGACTAGTAAAAATACTGTTTTTCCAGAAAAAGATTATGGCTGAACTGTGTGATTTATTGCATCTTCATGTATTAATGAATGCTATACTGATTAGTGTCATTAACTGCTTGACTCCTGGCAAGTTCAGTGTTCTTTTCAAAAAGGTTTTACGTTGTGACAATCACTTAGGGAGTCCCAAGCACAGGAAGATCTCTTGTGCATAATAGGATTTAAATTTTATCATAAAAATGATTTAAACTGCAATTTTTTGATCTAATAAATTGCATTCTCCTTTTAAGTGACAGTACACAAAATGCACTACCTTGTGTGGTGTTGGGCCATCCACTTTGAAGCCCTTTTAAACCTGTTCCTTGACTTTTTGTAGTATGTCATCGACTTTCTCTTGTATGTCATTGCTTTTAGAGTTTACCCTTGCAGAAGTAGGGCAGAACAAAGCCTCTTGAGGTTTTACAGAATACTCATTATTAAAAAGGGCTATGTGTATTTATGTGTATGCATTTAAAACCCTCCACCCCAAAACAAAACCAACCAACCAAAAAAATCCAAACAACAACAACAAAACTAAACAAAAACCTAATGATTAAAGGCACCAGCTTTGTAAAGTGTAGCTGAGTCTGTGGTGATGTGGCAGTGAGGCTGTGTGGAACTGATTTGAGGAAGCTGGTATTTGGTACAGAAGATTAGCCTTGGGATTGTTTCATCTTCATTCGGGATTTCATTCAATGGTTTGTTTTAGCATACCAGAGTTTACAATATATTTGTAAAAACTGAAACTAAAAATCCAGTAGTCATTACTGGAAGTCATTCTACTTGGCTTTGTGAGTGTGAGTGATTTTTGTGAAAGTTTGAGCTCGGTATTGTAAGGTGCTGAATGTCTGCTGGGAAACTTGAAGTGTGCATAAATGGTCAGCAGTGGGTCTTTTCAGGACCCACTTGGGTGGTTTTACCTTTACCTGGAACCATTTCTGAAAATCTGAGTTTCAGAAACAGATTTGTAGCAAAAGGTCCAATGTGAGAAACTTATTCAAGAGACTGAAATAATGCAATAACACATTGTAACTTGAGCAGTACAGCCTAACATAATGTCACCGTTTGTCTGGAGCGTGCGCTAAAATTTTGACTTCGGCTTAGTATTGTAGATGGAGGGTTGTTTTGGTTTGGGGAAGGTTTTTTCGCTGTTTGTTTTTTTCATTTTTATTTAAGGGATCATAAATTAAAGGGCTTTGGTCTGTTTAGTATATTATGTGGGTATCAGTTTAAGCCAGATGTGATTCTCTAGCATTCACATTCACTGTCATCAAGCAGCAGAAAACTGATGTTGACTTTTAGGACAGATGAATTTGTGTTCTGGAGCGTTAGTTCTTTTTTTTTTCTCATGCTAATGTGATTGGACACTAATGATCCTTTGGAATGAGGAGCTTGAGCTCATGCTACTCCTAAACTATTTGTTCTTTGGCTGGGGATAATTTATCATGTCTAGAGATTTTTTTTGGTTTGTTTTTTTTTTTTCCCCCATACTCCCTGAGAAGGAGCCATGCACTTGGGAAATTACACTAATGAAAATATACAAGTTTTGGTTAGAATGCAAGATAAACTGCAAATGAAATATTTGTGCCATGTAAGAAATCTAATTCCAGCTTAAAAGTCAGAACTTTTATTTATCAAGTTGTAACATTAGGAGTCTTTTTGCTTTGAATATACCAAGTGAACTTTAGAACTGAATTTGGATTTAGTGTTGTATGATGGCTTTCTCCTGATCAGCAGTTAGTTGTGTGTAACTAATACCCTTGAAATACTGAGTGTGCTTCTCATAAAAAAATATCCTTGTGAATCCCTTTATGCTGATAAATTACTGGCAGCAAGTTCTCCATTCAGTTTTGCGCTAGAGCAGGGAGAGATGTGTCTTGGTCTGGGCAGGAGGCCTGAAATTCCAGAGCTCTCACCTTGGCTACTCACTCCCCCGCCTGCCTCTGGCAAAATTACTTACCCTCTTTTTTAATTTTTTTAGCTTCAGTTGTTGCACCTGTGAACTGAGACAATGCCTCCTCACAGGAATGTTTTGCAAATCACATAGGTGGAGTTGAGCGCCTTCAAAGTGAAGAATCTCTAAACATCCCCCC